ACCCGCCAGAAGGGACCATTGCGACCATCCCACAGAATGCAGGCCAGAGACGACGCCTTTGAGCCCAGCAATGTGTCGGTGGACCAAGCTGAACACAGTTGGGAAAAGCCACGTAGGTCAGAACACGTTATATTCCAGTGGAACCGGTTCCCATGAAACAACCCTTTTTTACTCCAAAGGAAGTGGTTTGTTGAGGGGATGTCAATACCCCTCTGCTGCGTCTGCAGCCCATTGCAAGTGGCCAGGGTGTTTCTTCACCCGATCGCTCGGCTGCTCACCTGGTAGAACCTCATAGATGTCCTCGTCCTCCTCCCCACTGGCCGCTGCCACCTCCTCCATGTTGAGGTTATTGTGGGATTTCGCGTTTGGCGAGCCAAAGCCGTCGATGTCATCGTAAGCTTCTTCCTCTTCCTCCTCCTCCTCCTCCTCCTCCTCCTCATCGTACGGGATGGTGAGGGAGCTCATGTCTGGCAGGAGGGACGATGAAAAGAAAGGAATGAATTGAAGGAAAACAAAAACCACCGCATTAAATGCTGGTGCTTCCGTCATGGGCTAAAATCTACCAGAAAAGTCAGGCAACCATCCTGCAGTGCTCACCATCAATCCTGGTCTGCAATAACACAGAACCGAGGGGTGGGGGTGCCCCCTTTTAAGGTCCAGAGGTGTCTGGGGAGACTGACCTCAGCGGAGCACCGAGGAAAGGAAATGTGGTCAGTGGACTTGTCTCGGACAATGTAATGGAACTGATTTGCCAGCAGGGCCAAGGTTTTAACGGACAGACTGGACATGATTATAGGATAGAGTGCACTAAAGCTGCCTTCCCTCTTTAGGAGGTTTGCACGTCTCAGGCTAGCTTCTGGTCTCAGCTGTGCTGGTGTAAATCTGGAGTAACTTCCGTGACGTCAGAGAAGCAACTCCAGATTTCCACCAGTATCGCTGAGCTCAGAATCTGGCCCTTAGTGGTAAGTCACATGCATGAACCCAGAACAGGCCCATCCCTGTTTTTCAAGTTCTACTCCAGCTTCTTGCAAAAAATAAAAAAAATCACAATGGTTGGTTCTCTCGGTAGCAGAGATAGAGAGTGAAATTGGCAGCCCTTGTCCTTCAAACAACAACAGCGTCTTTCTCTCCACCAACAAAAGCTCACAGTCCAGTAAGCGATGCTGGATGACTGGGCCCTTTCCCCCCTACTCCAGTCTCCCTCCTCGTATGTTCAGCTGTGCTAGCTGATTGTGGGACAACTGGATAGGGTCAATAGCCCGCTCTGCCCAGGGACGACTGCATCGCTCTCTCTACCATATTTGATTACAACTCCTACACCCCACGGTCAGTGCCAACCCCCCGGACTGGCCAGCAGAGGGTGCCGTAAGAGCAGGCATTCAGCAACCCACTCAGTGAAGTTAGACCGGTGAAGAGTCCTAACGAATTAGATTTGAACCCCCCATGTTCTTTGCCCCGCGCCAATGGGCTGCGTCGGCCACATCCTGCTTTTCTATTCATTTGGGCACCTTCGTTTATTGTGGAGAAGAGTTTAAGGGCATCAGTGCCAGGAGGAGAAGCAGAGTGGAAGGATTTGCTAGTGGTAAAAGCCCGGGACCAAGAGAGGAGACTAGGTCTAGTCCCAGGTCTGAGGGGGAATATTGTCTGGTTTTACAGCTGGGGACTGGGAATCAGGATTCCCGGGTTCTTTTCCCAGCTCTGACACCGACTTGCCCTCTGACCTTAGCCCTCTCTCAACTTTTCCATCTGTATAATGGGGATAACAATAATATAGATACCCACCCTGGGGGCTGTGAGGTGTAATTCCTCAGTATTTGGGGAGTTCTTTGAGATCCAGGGATGGAGGCAGCTAAAGAAGTGCAAAGCTGTCTGCAGATAATGGCCCCGGGCTGTCTGAATGAACTGTAAAGTCAAGCACATTGGCTACAGCGCTCCCCGATAGCTACTCACCCTTTAACAGAAACTGGATCTGATCCACCCAGTCTTTCGCCTCTGCAGGACTGGAAGCTGTAAACTAGGGAGGGAATTCATTTGTTAGGTCATTAATGTTTTAAGCAGAGGTCGTGTAGACAAGCTCCTAGAGCAGGGGCCTCCGGGATTCTATTTTTGGCCCAGGGAGCTAGTTTAGTGGTTCGAGCGGGTGACTAGGATTCAGGACTCCTGGGTCCTGTTCCTGGCTCTGCGCCTCACCCACTGGGTGACCTTGGGTCACCTCTTTATGCCTCTGTTTCCCCATCTGTAAAATGGGGATAATGCTGCTGACCCACTGCAGAGAAGGTTGTCAGGCCTCATTTATGATTCAAGTGATTTGGTCTCATCAGATAAGTGGTGTTATTATTGAGTTTGAACCACAACTCCCCTGAAATGCACGTAAGTTCAGATCCAAACTTTACGGCTTGGATCATGTCTATGACAGCACTTTCCAGCCTTCCCCCCGAAGCCCAGGGAGCTGGAGACCTGGTTTAACCCCTTCCAACCAGCGTGAAGGCCGTTTGTGACATTCCTTTTACAACTAGACCTTCCAGACCCAACTTCTCTGTTGCTTTGCAGCTTGCATTCTCATTTACCGCTGGGCCAGATGAGGGTAAAGTGCTTTGGTTCTGCTTGCGTTTTATACCTGCTTTGTACCGGTATAGAGAGCCGTATAAGATGCACGGCTGTGGAGAAACAGACTAGCCAATCGGCAACGGAGGTCAGCGTTGCTGCTGGTTGTCGATCTTGTCAAAGCAGGACCGCTTGAACACCGTGCAGCAGTTCACACTTGGAAAGGTCTGGGTCCAGATGAGCTTTCAAGAATGAGGGGCACCAAAACCTTCCGGCCTTGTTTCTCTGGCCACGGATTCGGGTTTGGGGGATGATGACATGGAAAAAGGTCTCACCCCACTCAGACATTCAGACACACCAGGCCAGACAGACTATACAGTAAATAGCAACATGCCCAAGTTCACGCCGTTGTATGATATGCGCAGCGTTCTCACGCTCAAAGCAGCCGGGGCTCGGAGAGCACAGAAAAAGGACCATTTCTTCTATTGATCCTACCTCGTAGCTGCGTTTGCCGGGGCTCATGAGTTTGAAACAGGATTCTCTTCGGGAGTCTTTGCGCAGGTGGAAAGCCAGCTGGGCACTGTAGCTCTCAATGGGAAAAGTCCCTTTCGGTTGCTTGCCTACAATGATAAATAATAATATTGGCTTTGTGTGGCTGCAGCACCTTTCCTTGAAGGAGCTCACAGTGCTTCACAGAAGGGGTGTTTCGCTCATTTCACAGATGTGGGAAACTGAGGCACAGAGCCGTGACCTGCCCAAGGGGTCTCGGCAAGTTCAGTGGGAAATGGGCAGAAAGCCCCCTGGTGTGAGCATCTGTATCCCCAGGAGAAGGAAGGGTTGTAGCATTTTCCCTGTTAGGTGAAGGACCAGCGAAGCGGAGGCCCTGCTAACAACACTTGCAGGACTGTAAGAGCAAAGGAAAGGTTGTTAGGGTCACATGGATACACAAGACGAGCTGCCTGTAATGAAGCAGAGACCTGGGTGTACTTGGGGAAATATGATACAAACAGTTATTCCGCTGCTGGTCGAGGATTAACGGCTTGCTGCATACGAAAAGAAAGAAGAAACTATTTAGCGAGGCCTTTGACAATTTGCCTCTGGAAACTTGGAGACGTGCAGACATGTGCACATATTGGATCAGATCCTCGACTGGGGTGAACTGACATAGCTCCACTGATGTCAACAGAACTTCACCAAATATACACCGGCTGCGGATCCCGCCCCCCATTTCCTTATTGTAACTGGCCACTAGCTGGTTTCTTTTTGCGTCAAGGGAGAGAGCACATCTAGTGGACACAGGAGAAGACCGGGAGTTTTATTCCTGGCTCTGCTACCGATTTTCAGGGAGGTCTTGGACAAGTCATGCCACCTGCCTGTGCCTCAGTTTCTCCATCTTGTAAAATGAGGGTGGTGATACATAGTATCATAGCAATGTAGGACTGGAAGGGACCTCGATAGATCATCTACCTTAGACTCCCTGCACTGAGACAGGACTACATATTATCTAGACCATCCCTGACCATAGGCGCCAACTCCGTGGGTGCTCCGGGGCTGGGGCACCCTCGGGGAAAAATTGGTGGGTAGCTCCCCGCCCCGCCCCAGCTCACCTCCGCCTCCGCCCCTCAGCGCGCCGCTGCGTCCTGCTTCTCCCCACTCCCTCCCAGTGCTTGCGCTGCGAAACAGCTGTTTCATGCTGCAAGCCTGGGAGGGTGGAGGGGGAACGCGGCACACTCGGGGGAAGAGGCGGGGCCGGGGCAGGGATTTGGGGAGGGGTCCAATGGGGCAAGGAGGGGCGGAGTTAGGGTGGGGACTTTGAGGGCAGGGGTGGAGTTGGGGTGGGGGCGCGAGCCCCCACCGGCGCAGAGCCCCCACCGGCGCAGAAAAAAGTTGGGGCCTGTGTCACTGACAGGTGTTTGTCTAACCTGTGCTTAAAAACCTTCAATGACGGAGATTCTACAACCTCCCAAGGTAATTTATTCCAGGGTTTAACTACCCTGATTGTTAGGAAGTTTTTCCTAATGTCTAACCTAAATCTCCCTTGCTGCAATTCAAGCCCATTACTTCTTGTCCTGTCCTCAGTAGTTAAGGAGAACAATTTATCACCCTGCTCTTTATAACAACCTTTTAGGTACTAGAAGACTGTTATGTCCCCGCTCAGTCTTCTCTTCTTCAGACTAAACAAACCCAGTTTTTTCAATCTTTCCTCGTAGGTCATGTTTTCTAGACCTTTTATCATTTTTGTTGCTCTCCTCTGGACTTTCTCCAGTTTGCTCACACCTTTCCCAAAGCGCGGTGCCCGGAACTGGACACAATACTCCAGTTGAGGCCTTATCAGTGCTGAGCAGAGTGGGAGTATTTCTTCTTGTGTCTTGTTTATATTACTCTGCTAATATATCCCAGAATCACGTTAACTTTTTTTGGCAACAGTATTACATTGTTGACCCATATTTAGTCTGTGATCCACTAGACCCCCAGATCCTTTTCTACAGTACTCCTTCCTAGGCAGTCATTTCCCATTCTGTATTTGTATTGCATTGTATTTGTATTTGTGCAATTGATTATTCCTTCCTAAGTGTAGTACTCTGCACTTGTCCTGATTGAATTTCATCCTATTTATTTCAGATCATTTTTCCAGTTTGTCAAGATTATTTTGAATTCTAATCCTGTCCTCCACAGTGCTTGCAACCCCGCCCAGCTTGGTATCATCCGCAAACTTGACAAACGTACTCTCTTTGGCATTATCCAAATTATTTCTGAAGATATTGAATAGAACCAGACCAGGACAGATCCCTGCGGGACCCACTCGATACACCCTTCCAGCGTGACTGTCAACCATTGAGAACTACTCTCTGAGGTCACTTTTCCAACCAGTTGTGCACCCACCATATAATAGGTTAATCTAGGCTGTCTTTCTCTAGTTTCTCTGAAACTTTTCTCTAGTTTGTTTATGAGACGATCACATGAGACAAAATCAACAGCCTTACTACAACTGAGATAGATCACATCTACTGCTTCCCCCACCTATCCACAAGGCTTGTTACCCCGGCACAAGAAGGATATGAGCTTGGTTTGACATGATTTGTTCTTGACAAATCCATGCTGTTACTTATCACTGTATTTTCTTCTAGGTGTTTACAAATGGGTTGTTTGATTATTTGCTCCATTATTTTTCCGGGCACCAAAGCTAAGCTGACTGGTCTCCAATTCCCTGGGTTGTCCTTATTCCCCTTTTTATAGATAGGTGCTATATTTGTCCTTTTCCAGTCCTCTGGGATCTCTCCCGTCCTTCATGAGTTCTCAAAGACAACTGCTAATGGCTCAGAGATCTCTTCAGCCAGATCCTTAAGTACTCTGGGATGTATTTCATCAGGCCCTGCTGTCTTGAAGACATCTCATTTGTTTAAGTAATTCTTAACTTGTTATTTTCCTGTTTTAGCCTCAGCTCCTCCCCACTGACACTGATGTTCATAGGCGCTCGGGGCTGGAGCACGCAAGGAAAAATATTAGCAGGTGCTTAGCCCCCACCGGCAGCCAAGCTCCCTCCAGCGCCTCCCACCTGCCGGCGGCCCCACTGATCAACTCCTCCCCCACCTTCCCAGCGCTGTTCCGCGGCGTGCAGGAGGTGCTGGGAGGAGCGTGGATGGGGCGTGCTCAAGGGGCGGGATGAGGCAGGGTAGGGGTGGGGCCTTGGGAGAAGGGGTGGAGTGGGGGTCAAGTGGGGGCACTCCCTCGGGTAGAGAGGAAGTCGGCACCTATGGCTATGTTAGTTGCCAATCACTGCTAACTTTTTTGGTGAAAACTGAAACAAAAATGGCCTTTAACACTTCGGCCATTGCTGGATTTTCTGTTATGGTCTTTCCTTCCTCATTGAGTATAGGGCCGACTCTGTGCTTGGTCTTCCTCCTGTTTCTTACTGTAAAATGTTTCTCCTTTATGACGCTGGCTAGTTTAATCTCATTTTGTGCCTCAGCTTTTCTAGTTTTGTCCCTACATGTTTGCGTTGGTTTTTTATATTCATCCTTTGTAATTTGACCTAGTTTCTTTTTTGAGTTTTGGGTCGTTGACGATCTGGGTAGACCAGAGTGGTCTCTTACCCTACTTCTTATCTTTCCTATGCATTAGGATAGTTTGCACTTGTGCCTTTAATAGTGTCTCTTTAAAAACAGACCTACCCCTTTGGGTGACTGGGGTGGCAAAGCTTAATCTTGTTAACGTGCTCGGAGATCCTCAGAAGAAGGGTGCTAGAGAAGGACAAAATCATCCCCGTCAGTGAGAGTCAGCGGATGTTCTTTTTGTCTTAACAGCAGAAGAGTCATCATGAAACGAAGAATATGATGTGCGTGCGTTAGAGCTGTCAGCATGCAGTGTTTCTGGATGGGCGGAACGGTATAACGAAGCCCATATATCTAGCCGTGCCAAACTCTGTTGGAGGTATTAGCTGTGTGTTTATATGTACCTGATGGACCATAACTGCAAAATATTTATATACACTGACACATGGATTATATACAGTCACTTGGGGAGTTAAAGCCCAGCTGATGCCTAATGGAAAACTTGGTTCAGCATTTTATTTACACAGTTCCACTCCTGTGTTTCTCTTCTCTCCTTCTTCACCAATAAGTATATTGAAATAAAACAAGGCCAAGATCTTTCTAAATATGCCTGCTGCTGATGCCTCATCTGGTATCAATCACCCTCGGGCACATCATCATTATTTACCAGCTGGGTGAAATGAGAAGTCGGAACTTCAGGTGAGAAACCAACAGACAGCAGGAAGCAATGGACTCGTAAGGAAACCAGGAGTGAGATATGGATTGTAAGAAGAACTGGGCATCTTTGAAAATGGCAGCAAAACGAAGAGGAGGAAATTGGTGCACAGGCGTAATCATTAACCTGTGGAACTCGCTGCCACAAGACATCATTGAGGCTAAGGGCTTAGCAGGGTTAAACCTTCCTCCAGAGATTAGTGATTTGTATGGCTAATGAGAACATTCACAGCTACATAAGAGGGGATGAAAAACAGAAGGGATATCAACCTTCCTGCAAGGCATAAGCCAGCTAGCATCTAGCACAGTAGAACCTCTAGACAATACTGTAATACAAATAACAGAAAATGACAGGATTCAACAGCGCAAACTAAGGAATGACTCCAATTCGTTGGGGCCAAATTTTTCCCCTGAAGCCCCAGGGACTTCCAGAGAGAATGTTCTGCAATTATCTCCCTATGAGGCTCCCGCCCTGTCTCGTCCCAGCCCACTTGAGCACCCAGCCACCAGACGCGGCTTGGAGAACACAAGGCCAGTGCTTTGCCACTTACTTTTTTCATTTGCATAGTACAGAAAGGTCCTTTTGTTGAGGACGCACCATCGCTTCTGCCACTCCGAGCCAAAGAAACCATGGTCTGTGGGGAAACGGGAAAGCGGGGGTTAAGAGCACGGCGGGAAAGGTCTCATGGACTCTTTTGTGTATTTATAGTCAGTATAAGCCCTCCGTCCCTGCACAATCCCTCACAGCATCAGGGGGCTGGAATCGAGTCAATTCTCAGAACTGAGCACTAGATACGGTGCTGATGACCCAAGACTCTGTCCCACGCCTTTGACCCCCGCGGGCATGTCTTCACTAGGAAAAAAGGTGTGTTCTTAACCCAGTTTAGCTACCACATGGTAACTAAGGCTAGGTCTACACTACCCGCCTGAATCGGCGGGTAGAAATCGAGTTCTCGGGGATCGAATTATTGCGTCTCGTCGGGACGCGACAATCGATCCCTGAATCAACGCTCTTACTCCACCAGCGGAGGTGGGAATAAGCGCCGTCAATGGGGAGCCGCGGAGGTCGATTTTGCCGCCGTCCTCACAGCTATTCGCGTAGCTGAATTTGCGTATCTTAAATCGACCCCGCCCTGTAGTGAAGACCTGCCCTTACATGAGGTAAAAGCCTAGTGAAGACAGGCAGTTTGTAGCTGGCATTAGCAAGTCAAAGCAAACCTTCGTCTCCTGCACCATCTCTTCCTCGACCTGCTGACGTGTATGAAAGCTACAAATGTGTCGTCTTCCCTAAGATTTCACCCCGTGGGAGCTAACCTGAGTGAAGAACCCACCTTTTTTTCCCTAGTGAGGACAAGGCCTTAATGGTTAATCCCATTTCTGGGCTTTGCTCTTTGAGCAGAATGACGACCTGCATAAGGTGCACCCTTTGTTACTTATGATGCCTAAACAAAACCTGAGAGATTCCACACACCCCTCCCTGCAGAAAAGATTTTTTTCCTGCTTGTTCTTCACCTTGAGAACAATTAAGAGTTCAAATCTTATTCACCCCATTTTTGTTGGAGAGATCCTTGGATGACTCATACTACGGTGGCGAGTTCTCCTGGCTCTTAGGTGGTGTTGAATCTTTAACGAAGAGAGCTTTCCTCCCACGCGCTTTACTTAAATACAGTAGGTATTAACAGGGAGTAATGGCTGGGGTTTTTGGGAACACCCAAGTGATTTAGGTGCATGCTTCCACTGGCTTTCATCAGGAGGTGAGTTCCTAAATCACTTGGGTGCTTTTCAAAAATCCCACCCATGGTATTTTAAATCACCTGACTAAAAGTCTTTCCCTTTCGGTTTATCAGGTGTCATCTTGGTAGGGCTGCTGTCTCGAACCTATTCAGTTCTCCAGTCATCCGCAGAGACAAGATTTGAATTTGCAAAGTAAAAGACAAGCAGCAAATAAACCTTTTTCACCCCCACAACCACAACCACCACCCACTCTCTGACTTATTTATATATCATCATTAAGCAGCATAAATAAAGGGGCATAAACCCACCCACCCTGCTTTGTAGGTCACCTTAAACCGGTTTATTCGACTGTTACCTCTGGACCTCTTCTCCAAGTAGCCTTGCTTCAAAACTGTCCCCAGCTCTTGAGCAGGTTTCTGTATGCCGTCCTCTGACCCTAAAGAGACCAAAGCAAAGTCTTGTGAAATACACAAAAGATTTCTGATCTACGGGCTGCGCTCTGCCTCGAGCAGGCATAACCATAGACACACAATGCCTGGCCAAACGTCTATGCAACCAATGTGCACGCACACACATGCACGACCTGGACTCACATACGAACCCTTCTGTACGCGTCACACCCAAATTGGATACTCCAGCCCACTAGAAGGTGTCAACAGATCTTTTCCAAACTATGAGGCATCCGAGCACTGACATCAGTTTTTATCCGTAGGAAGCTGCTCTAAGAGCTCGCAACGAACCTTGTTGGACCAAACTTTATTGAGGTTATCGAGATGTCCACCCATCTGCCTCCACTAGGGCTTTTTAATGTCACCGTACATGAGGGAGGCAGAGGGACGGGGGCAGAAAGCAGGAGAAACACGGTAACACACAGACCACCAAGTCTGCCGGGGGAATTTTACAGTAGAAAACAAAGGAAGCACTAAGGGAGAATATTGCAGGAGTCGCCCAAGACATAGCACCGTAGTGCAGAACATCCATCGCTAGCCCCGAACACCAGTGTCAACAGCCACGCCTACGGTTCATGCACATGCACCCGTTCGTTTTGCCGCTCGGCTCCTTCGATCTCACGCGCTTTTATTGTGCCCAACCCTGTCGTTTCAAAGCACCCCCCGCAAAAATTAAAGTCCGGCGCCTCTCCGGCAGCATCCCAGACGGCACCTTTCCCATCATCTCCATTGCGATCTTAAGCGGGGTGCTCTCTTTTGGGTCCTCTTGCTTTCGCACCAATGAGCCCACCCTGCCCTGCGCTTTGCGCAGCTATTCTGCCCTGGTGTCAGTGTCTGCACAAGGGGTCGGGCACCAGAGAAGTGTCCACATTGACTACAGGGACATCACTCATTTAGGGCCTGATCCAAAGCCCGGCGGAGTCAGCAGGCGTCCTTCCATCAGGCTCTGGGCTAGGCCCTAGCAAGAGGAGGATCAGGACCACTAGCCGTGCTGCCGTCACCCTGGGACGGACAGAGATGGCACTTGGGGCCCACGAATCCTGGAGCTGCACGCTCCCACCTGCCTTGGAGATCTAGAAATATGGGGGTGACTCAGCCGTGAGCTCCCCTAACAGCCCTCTTCCGTGCCCAGAAGGTCTTGGCTGGAGTGGATCATCTGTGAGCAGCTAGTCATGGTCCTCACACCAGCCTCCCAGGGGTAGCCCTCCAGCAGTGCCACCCCAAAAGGCTAAGGCTGGTTCTGGGGGCAGGGCCGTTCATGTCAGGCGCTAAGCCCCTGGCCCCCAGTGAGAGCTCCGGGGTTGTCAGCAAGTTGTAGGAGGCTTTTGCTACCTGGCAGGATCAGACTCGTTATTCCAGAAGGGTCGATCGCGATCATCTAGAGGGACCTCCTGCACATCTCGGGCCGGAGACCCTCGCCCAGCGACTGGCATCCGGGCCAAACCCCTGGCGGGTTGCAAGACTTACGGAGGGGAGCCTGTGCCTTGCATCGCACTGTGAAACTGACCAGATTGAACCTCAGCCCCAAAATCCAGCCGGGAATTCCCCAGCCACTGAGCGCATCCCCCGCCCCACCACCGCCTTGGGTCTTAATAATTTGTGCTGAAACACAATAAAAAATGACTCACTGCACGCCACTAATCATCTCCCCAGTGCCTGAGCTTGGCAGCCTTTTAAGTATGACTAACTTCCCAGAATCCCAGACCAGAAGGGTTGCTCCTGTTTTCTTAGCGTGTCTCTCTCCCGGCCCAATCCATCCCTGGTGTCAGCTCCCTCCTTTGCAGACTCTTTTCATTTTTGTGTTTTATAGTTTGCAAACTCGGGGGCTGCTATAAATCCCCGCCCACGGCTCTCGGCGTGAACGCCAGACACGAGAGCGGCATCAAAGGCACAAAGTCTGGTTTTGTACATACATCCCCCCCTACGTGGGCACCCCCTCTGTGCTCGTTATTACCTGGGAATCGGAGCCATCCGCAGGGGCAGATTCATAGTTTATACCAGGCGAGGATCTGGCTCCTAGGGTGAAGCTCACCTCTGGGGAGAGGCCCATCGCTTAAATTCTAGTTTGAAGGCTTGAGTGGTGCATCGGCCTCACGTCGGCCCTCTGGCCAGGGGTGAATTTCACCCCTATTCAGTAGACGTGGCCTTTCCCCATGAAACAGAAAGGCGGCAAATTAAAACCAGAGTCAAGCAAATGGTTTTCCTGCGTTAACCCGTGGAACTCACTGCAGCAAGATAGTGCTGAGGCACAGCAGGATTCAAAACCAAGACTGGACATCTGTTTGGAAGGGCTATAAGGCCTCAAGCTTCAGGGCATAACCGGACCAATAACTATTTGGTGTCCGGTGGAAATTTGGCACCTTCCTCTGAAGCAGATGGTTATCCGGCACTGCCAGTCGCAGGATAGCTCAGTGGTTTGAGCACTGGCCTGTTAAACCCAGGGTTGTGAGCTCAATCCTTGAGGGAGCCATTTAGGGATCTGGAGTAAAAATCTGTCTGGGGATTAGTCCTGCTGTGAGCAGGGGGTTGGACTAGATGACCTCCTGAGGTCCCTTCCAACCCTGATATTCTAAGACCCTGGACTGGTCTGACCCACTATAGCAATTCCTATGTTTCTAAAGCAGGACATGGGGTTTTGCTGCAGGAAGCCCGTTATTGACATGGGGGCTGGCTGAGCAGTTCTGATCAGAATCCACAACTTTCCAAGACACTGGGGTTGCTCAGAACCCTGGTGCAGGGGCCACCCGGCCTGGCCTCTCTGCTCCCCACCCACATAGGGAGCAGCACTTTTGTTACAGATCCATCATATGCTTTTCGCTTTGAGATGCTGAACTTCCGACGGTTGGGGGGGGGGGGGGGGGGGGAGGAGGAGAGAGAGAGAGAGAGAGAGAGAGAGAGAGAGAAGAAGAAAGAAGAGCACGGTAAGCATTTTTTTTTTAAATCGGAATCCAGGCCCCTTTCGTTAATGCAAATCTAAATGTCATTTTATGGGACATTTATAATTATGAAAACGGGCTGACGCTGCCTGGTACACAGGGGGAACCCGCAAGTATGAATATTACATTAGCGTGCCCGATGCCAGCTCACTGATCCCGCTGGCAGGAGCATAAAAAATGCTCGAGTGAAACTTTTATTTAGACGTTAAGATTCCAGGCCCCAGCGGGGTGACGCAGGCAGCCCCTGTGAGATCCCATCAGTATGAGCGTTTGAATTGAATTACCCAGGGGGAAAGGCAGGAGCGGCGAGCGCTGGTTTGCTTATTTAATTTCATTTACTTTCAGTACATTATCAGCATGGGGCTTCCCTGCCCTCCCCCCCCCCCAAGAAACAAGGCTGCAGAGAAGGGTTGCCTGCATGTTCCAGGGGCCATCTGCAAGTTACAGATTTCTCTAGTCCGCTCTTGCCCTATGTGCTGGTCCTTCATGGGCAAGCAGAACCAGCACTGTCTTTTGCTGAGGTCTCCTGAGTCGAGGAGGATTCTGGGGAGCTATAAAGGGTCCATCAAACACATCCAAGAAGAGGGGAAAAAACAAGGCAGCATGGCCTAGGAGACTGAGCACAGGGCCGGGAGCCAGGATCATCCATGCATAACCCAGCTCCATCACTGGACTCATTGTAGCCACATTGTGTCATGCTCTGCCCGTCTCTCTGCATGTACCTGTCGTCTCTTCTCTCGGATTGTAAGCATTTTGGGGCAGGGACCATGTTCTTGGTGTGTATCTGTACAGCGCCTATCGCAGTGGGGACCTGGTTCATGCCTGGGGCTCCTAGACACGACCGCAATACAACTAATAAATAATAACGCCTCTCTTTGGGCAAGACACACCTCCTTTCTGTGACTCAGTTTCCCCATCGGTAAAATAGGAATCGTGATACTTACCCTCCTTTGTAAATGCTATGTGACTGCTTAGCTTATACACACACACACACACACCCCAACCACCTTGGAAACATTAAAGGCTAAATGCCTTTATGACCGCAACACACAAGACAAACATTGCTGTCAGAACCTCCCGGATACAGCCCTCGTAACACACCCGGAGCCATACAGATGAAATCTGTGGTGAGGCATATTACTGCAGAGGACATGAGAGTTCTGCACCCGCTGCCCTATTGGGGGAAACACAGAGACGCATTTTCTCCCTCCAGACTTGCCCCGAGCACCCGCGGCCAAGTCTGCCACACGATTCCATCTCTTGGCACTCCGTGACTCTCCAAGCCAGCCACGACTTGGGCTGCTCCAGGAGAGCCCTCCCCAGCAGGCATTGTGTATGTATCCAAGAAAGCAGACACGCCGGAGCCTACGGGCGTCCCGGCCTGTTTCACCGGGCGTGTTCCCGCTCAACGAGAAAAGAGAATCCGGGACAGTCAGCTGGCAACACCAGGCCGCGGGGATAAGAACACAAGAGGCCACACGGGGGTCTTTACAGAACAAGCCGGCAGCAGATGGCTAAATTATCCCGAAAAGAAAATCAGGGGGCTTTTTTCCTTTTCACCTTTTGCTTAACTTTTTTTTTATTATTATTTTTATTTAAAGCCCCCAGTTCATTCTCATGCCCTAGAAAAACAAACCGAATGGGCTAGTCACAAACTAGCCAGGGACACATGCTGAGCCAACCAGCTCATATTGGAAGGCCAGGAAGGACCAGTACAACATATCTAGTCTGACGCTCCCGGTCAGAGAATTTCGCCTGCGTCGAGGCCCAACACCTTGGCCAATCAACCAGAGCTTTGATTTAAAGACTAAGGCCTTGTCTAGAGGGGAAAGAGAGAGACCGCGCGCTCGCATGGCTGGTGTGAGCACAGATCCCCATCTCAGATGAAATTAAGATGCACATTTTTAACAGGGAATGTTAATCATTGGGCCAGTTGCCAAAGGACGGGCTAACTTCTCTATCGTTTAGAGCTAGTCCACGCAGCCAGTGAAAGCGTGGCAAGCCAGCGTGTGAATCAACAGCGCACCAGGCTGCCGGCCAGTAACTCGCCA